AATCTTGATCTATGTGACTCTAGACATAGAAAAGAAAAATTTGCAGGTAAATTATGACAATGCTTGCATTGCTTTACCTTTCTTGAATTCTTGATTTACAAATATTTCAGCTTATGTTGAGACGTTGATCACCATCTCTGGAGGTCTGTCCTGTAGACCCTGACTCAGTGACAGATGAATAAATGCACTCACACACACAGTACAGTGATTTGAGTGGGCTAGGGATGGTTATCAGCTGCTTTCAGAGTGTGATTACAACTAACTGACCCGAATCCCTGTCTTTTCTCACATTTATTCAGTATAGATTTAATAATAAAGGTTCTAAGTCACTGTGGATAATTAACATGGTTAAAAGAGTGGTTTTCTGAATTATAAAAGGTCTTGGTTCTGGGGCCCACAGTAAACACCATTAACGAATAATTCCCCTTTGACCTCCTTGTGAGAGGACCATCGGGCACAAAGTTTTCATGAGTAAACAAATTAGAGTAAGGTCAAAGGAATGTGGGGTAAACAGACTTAACTGGGAAAGTTTTTATTATCCTATTCTTCACTCTCTGACTTAATGCTCTAATGTAAGAACTGGCTGCCTTCAGCTCATCTCATTAAAACCTTTCAGCCTTCAAAAAGTTTGAGACTATAATCTAGAATTTCCCTAATATTTCCCTTAATATTTGCCAGCCACCCCAAGTGAATCCCAACATCTCCTCATTCTCTATTATTAATATCAGGCTCTGTTGTGTGCCGGCCACTGATGCATTCAGCCATGAGTCTGTCAGGTGACGCAGTCCTTGATCTTACTCCGTTTGAAGATTTTGTAGTAGATGAACTGAGTAAGCCACGGGACTTACTGTATTTATTGGCTGAGGGGAAAAAGCTTTTAAGGCTCATATCACAGCTTTCATCTCAGCTCTCTGACTGCCAGTACACTTAGATCAGATGATTGAATTATGTGGTCTGTACTAGACTGCCACTTTTCCTCGTTCACCTGATCTATCAGTAAACAGTGTTAAAGCATTAGGTATGGAGGAGGGTAATATCACTTCGAATTGCTCTTTTCTTAAGGGAATTTTGATGGTATCAGGATTGTAACCTAGCAACTGGCTGTATAATTCATTAAGATGGCAAGCTGAAACTGATAATATTAAGAGGAAATCTGAAAGCATCTCTGGAAGCAGAGACTCAAGGAATGTACTTTAACCACGTGCTTAAAGTCACAGGCAGAATAGCTTGAATCTTGCAGTTGAGTTTTCAGGCTGACCAAATTTATGGATTTTAAACTGCCAAACAGTTCTGAAAACAGTGACTTACTACCCAAGCAAAGACTGCTTCTAATCAGTCTTTCATGCATATGTTTACATACAAATTTTCTTCACTTTCTGAGAAGAACGCAGCGTTTGTACTTCTTAATTCAACAAATACTATTTAATTTGATTTAAAGTTCTCCTTTAAAGAGTAATGTGTGGTTTTACATGCCTAGCTGTTAACTGTTTTTTAACTAATTCATGGGCCTTCTGTAATTTCTCTCCTTTTAGAGGCTACTGTTTCCCTTAAGTTGGATTCAGATAGAGTTCCATGGTTACATCAGAGATAACAAGAGTAGCTATTATCATAATTTAAATTTTACTTAAATCTCAGCAGAGAATTATAACCTAGGACACTGTAAACAAGGAATATATGAAATTTCACTGTGGGACACCTGTGGAGCCATAGCCAGTGGCGCGGGTCCCAGGATGGCAGCCATGCTGCGCCCCCGCCAGCTGCTGCTCTTTACTTGTGCCACATTCTCTGTGACTCACTCCCTCCTCCTGCCCTCGGTCAGCTGCTGAGTGGACCTCCTGTGCATGCCTCCTGCCCTCCCTGGCAGGCTGACTCTGGTGTGCTGGGCCTGGCTCCCTATCACTGCACAGGCCAAGTTCTTGGGAACATTTGCTGGCTCCAGGTTTATGAGCTATTTTACTACTGTCCACTCCTCTGCTGTCGAGTCTTTCCTCTTGCTTACTGCTCCCTTCCCCCACCCAAGCAGTAGCTGCTGGCTTGGACAGAGCTTTCCTTCCAAAGCCTCTGATTCCTTTTTTCTTATCCTTTTATAAATATACACCCGATTGCCTTGCCGATCTTTAGTTAGCCTGAGCAGGCTAAGAGTTTCTTCTGTAATGCTGCTTGTTTAGACAAGGACCTATGGCTGTAGCATGTACTTTGTCCCTTTTCCTATTCATTGGTTGCTTTGTGCATGATACTGTGTAAGATTTCTCCCCAGTTGTTCCCAGAGCTTTACATCTAGTGTGCTGTCTACTGGGAACCATGGGCTTTGGGAAGCAACAGTCCGTATTAATTCTTTCAATTAGGCCTGATACTCTTTCTGTTGCACTGATAACTGCTGTCCCATGATGAATCCCTAGCCTGAAACAATGCCTCCTTGAATTTGGCAATCCCCAGTGGGGGATTACTTGACTTGCTGACTACTTGACCTGATTCCATGGTCTCTGCGGCTTCTCTTTTCGGGGGTCCACCGCTTTCCTTCTTTGCAGTGATGATCATGTTGGTTCACTCCGCATTTGGGCACCTGCTGTGATGATGACTCCATCAGTTCTCCTCACACCGGGGCACCTGCTGTGGCATTATGTCAATGTCCCTGTCCGGGTGCCAGCTGTGACTAGTATCATGTCAGGTCACCACCTGAGATGTTGATCACCACCTGTGGAGGTCTGTCCTGTAGACCCATACTCAGCGATGGATGAATAGTGCACTCACATACACGGTACAGTGATTTGAGTGGGCTAGGGATGCTGGTCAGTTGCTTTCAGAGGGCAATTGCAGCTAATCGACCCTACTTCCTGTACTTCCTCACATTTATTCTGTATAGATTTAATAACAGAGGTTCTAAGTCAACATACTTGTGGATAATTAATATGGCTAAAGAATGGTTTTATGAATGATAAAAGGTCTTGGTTCCGGGGCTCAGAGTAAACACCATTAACGGGTAATTCCCATATGACCTTCGCACAAGAGGGCTATCCAGCACAAAGTTTACATGAGTAAACAAATTAGAGTAGGGACAAAGGAATGTGGGGTAAACAGACTTAAGTGGGGAAGCTTTTATTATCCTAATCTTCACTTTATAACTTAATGCTCTAATGTTAAGAACTGGCTGCCTTCAGCCCATCTCATTAAAATCGTTCAGCCTTCCAAAAGGTTTCAGACTATAATCTATAATTTCCCTAATATTTCCCTTAATACTTTGCCATCCACCCCAAGTGAATCCCAACATTATATGGCTTTCCCAGCATCTAATTCTATTTTTATCTTTTCTGAACTCTCTACTTTCTCTCCACAAGTATTTGTTCCAATGAATACATCTCAATCAATCTGCCTGTCTCAACCTCCCAAGTGTTGGGATTAGAGGCGTGAGCCACTGCACTGGTTGCACCATTCTTCTTCTTTTTTTTGTTTTTGTTTTTGGAAATGAAGTCTCCCTCTGTCACCCAGGCTGCAGTGTAGTGGTGCGATCTCGGCTCACTGCAACCTCCACCTCCCGAGTTCAAGTGATTCTCCTCTCTCAGTCTCCTGAATAGTTGGGATTACAGTCATGTGCCACCACACCTGGCTAAGTTTTGCAATTTTAGTAGGGAAGGGGTTTCGCCCTGTTGGCCAGGCTTGTCTCAAACTCCTGAGCACAAGCCATCTGCCTGCCTCAACCTCCCAAAGTGTTGGGATTACAGGCATGAATCACCACTCTTTGCTACAGCATCATTCTTAATTTCAATGTCTAGTATAGACATTGAAAGAATTGAACATATTGGATTGTATCAAAACAATATCTTGTTAAAGAGAATGACCCTCTCCACCCAACCAGAAATAGATGGAGGCAGTGCTGACTTTAACCTAAATCTTAAATGAAATGTGCTTCACTCAATTTTCCTGTAGAGAGGCTGACTGCTTTATTAGAAAACGGGAGAACATTGACCTTTTTCTATGATTCTCCTGTGATCACCCTGGATAGAATTCCTTTCACTTTCTAACCCGTGTCTATTTCAACCCAGGATACATTCAGCTTGTTGTCTGTAACACTTATTGCATTTGTTAATAGCCACGACTGACACTGATCCTCTCTGCTGAGAGGGGACCTATTCTGACTCCATTCCTTGTGACTACAAAATCTACTGTGGAAGTCAGATGCTCAGCTGGCATTTTATAAATATTCCATAAACAAATGAACTCTGGCTTTTGGGATAAAAGAGTCAGTTGCCCATCATTTGACAGATCCTGGATATTTTTTTCATAAAAATCACCCTAGCAGGTTGCTTATTGCAAAATGACAGGTGTCATATCTTCTCCAGCTCTGAATATTGTTAAGCAAAATTTATATTAATGAGAAACAGACAAAAAACGGTGTCCGATGCATCAGAAATACAGGGAGCACCTTTGCTCTCATGCATTTTATTAGCGTTTTTCCCAGAGATCAACATTACTAGGACACTTAGTCATCTGTGAGTTACTTAAATGCTCCCTCCAGCTCCTGGAAGAGTGGGTGGTTCTGATTCTATATCACTGAGATGGTTTATGGAGCCCTCTTCATCCCATAATTCCAAAGAGTGCAGTTAAAACGTTTTATTAGGGGGCAGCTGAAATTGTCCAGGGAATGTGGCAAGGGAGTGTTGTTATCTTTACATGAAAGGCTATGCAAAGATAACACACCTGTCTTGATTTCACCCATGAGAAAAGTGAACTCCAAGGTTTCAGTAAATTAGCCATGTCGATGATAAGCATTGACTTTGTTACAGTCTCACTCTGTTTCCTGGTCAGATGCTGCACTTCAAAAGAAATGCAAAGTTTGATAAAACAGACATGCTATCAATTTAATTAGGAGAGCTTTATCTTCAGTGGGTCACCATATCCAGCATGACAATAAAGTCTTCCATATATTTCTTGTCCTACTGGAAAAAAAAAACATAGAAAAGCTATGTACAAAAACTACATTAAGATTCATCGATGTCTTTCAGAGATAGGAGGCAAGTGCCATTTCTGAACAGTTTGGGTCAAGTCAGACATGCCCCCTGCCCCCACAACTATTCAATGGACACCAGAACATTGAAAATCATGACCTTTAAGAGGACTGCCTTTGACTTACACAGCTCAAGAAACACTGCCTGGTTTGGTCACAGGTTTGTCCCTTGTCACTGTGCATTTGGTTTTTCTTTTCCTGCCCTTAAGACAGTTTTGTGCCATGGCTACTTAGGTAGTGTGAACCATAGTTTAGAATTGAGCTAAGTGCGGCTATGTTACTGTTTCTCTTTCTTTTCTTAGAGATGGGGTCTTGCTGTTGCTGTGTTGCCCAGGCTGGACGACAGTGGCTATTTACACACGTGATTCCACTACTGATCAGCATGGGAGTTTTGACCTGCCGCATCTGTGACTTAGCCTGCATTCACCTGACCTTAGGCAGCCTGGTGTTCTTCTGCTCCTGGGAGATCACCATGTTGGTGCTGAATTTAGTGTGGACACTCGATCAGCATAGCGCTCCATAGCCCAGAACTTCTGGCCCCAAGCCACCCCCCGCCTCAGTCTCCTGAGTAGCTGGCACCACAGGCATGCTACTTGCTGCTTTTGTCAACATAAAAGGGAATCAGAAAAGGCAGAACATATCAAGATCAGTAATCAAGGCTGAGCATGATGGCTCACACTTATAATCCCAGCACTTTTTGAGGTCAAGGCAGGAGGATTTCTTGAGGACAGGAGTTCAAAACCAGCCTGGGCAACATAGAGAGACCTCATCACTACAAAAAAATAATAGAAAATAAAAAAATTACCCAGGTGCAGTGGTGCATGCCTATAGTTCCAGCTATTCCAGAGGCTAAGACTGGAGGATCTTTTGAGCTTAGGAGGCTGAGGCTACAGCGAGCTACTATCATACCACTGCACTCCAGCTTGGGTGACAGAATGAGACCCTGTCTCTAAAAGAAAAAGAAAAAAAGAGAGTAGTCAATTCTTTAGAAACCAAGATCTTGCCATGAGCAGGTGCACGAAGGTGGAAAACATTTCTGGGAATTATAAGTAGGAATTTTGAAAGAAGTTCTCAAAGTGAACATTCATTCCATGGAGAAACAGAATGAATCAAGAGGAACCCACAGAAAGCAGAGAAGCTAATTCACCAATGAGACTGCACACCAACTGTCTGAACTGCCATGGGAATCTGTATTCCACACACTTTTATTCTTTGTATTTTATTGTTTGGGTTGAAAATGCCCCTGGGCATGGTGACTCATGCTTATAATCCCAGCACTTTGGGAGGCCAAGATGGGAGGATTCCTTGAGCCCAGGAGTTTGGGACTAGCCTGGGAAACATGGTGAGATTACATAAAAATACAAACATTATCCATGGACTGGTGGGTGCCTGTAGTCCCTCCGCCTCCCGGGTTCAAGCGATTCTTCTGCCTCAGCTTCCTGAGTAGCTGAGATTACAGACATATACAACCATGCCTGGCTAATCTTTGTATTTTTAGTAGAGATGGCGTTTCACCACGTCGTTCAGGCTGGTCTTGAACTTCTGACCTCAGATAATCAGCCCTTCTCGGCCTCCCAAAGTGCTGGGATTACAGGTGTGAGTCACTGCTCCGGTCTTGATAAATATTATTAAGGTATAATGACAGGGAAGACCTTCCATTCCCCACTCCCCCGCCACCTTTAATCAAGAGCACAGATGTCCCTGAAGCACTGCTTGATTACTCCGACTCAAAAGAGCCAATCTGAATCCTGGTGTGATGATTGGGTTTGATGCTTGTCACAGATAAGAACATTCTGTGTCAGCAAGGCAGGCTGTAGGTGTTTTACTGAATGTAATGTTTTGTTGTTGGTGTGCTGCTAGTTTTTTTTTTTTTTTTTCCTGGATGTGTGGTAAGAGTTGCAAATGCAGGTGCAGATTGCCTCATTTGTACATTATCAACATGAACCATCTGGGTGAGCCGAGCAGAGACAGCCCTCCAGTAGCAGAGGGAGGTGGGACGGTGAGACGCTAACGCTTTTGTAATGATTCGAGGTGGCTGCCAGAAGAGGCAAAGCCTTTGCAGAACAGCCTGTCTATGAACAGCCTGTCTGTTCTCTTCTAAGATATTAGAGAGACAATATGACTATTAGGTAAGTTGGGAAGGGCTTGTTCCTATACATTTTTTCAGCCTTTTTTTTTAACCTCTGGTTGAAATGGGCAGAGTTGAAAGATCCTTTGACCTTCTCTTCTGAAACTTAATGGATCAGCTAAGGCATTGATCTTGATTCCAAACCAATTTTAGTGTGGGTAAGTTTCTCTTTCTGTCACTCTCACACCCTCTCTTCTATCTTCCCTCGCTCCTTCTCTACTTTTTCTTTCTTAACCAAGAACGTGTGTGTGTGTGTGTGTGTGTGTGTAGTCTGTGGCCAGAGTATCCACACTTTGGATGAATTCGTTTGTATTTTGCTCTTAGTGTTATTTTAAGGTACAATTATAGGTAGTTTTGCAGACTGAAGATGGGCTTTTCTTTCATTGTAATGCATTTTGCTGTCATATCACTTAGTCCTAACCCCCTGCCACTGCCAATTAAATGCAATCATTAGTCATTCAGTGGTTTTGAACTTGGATTAATGCAGTCAAAAAAGAGGCAGCTCAATTTGAGTAATTGCCTCTTTTCTTATTCAGGACACAGAGGCTTTCTGAGTTTAAACTTTAGGCTTGGCAGGACATTGAGACAATTCCCTAGTGCCAGCATGTTTCAGGGCAGGTTTTGCCACTGAGACAATTCATGCAAGAGCCCCAGGATTTGAGGTAGCAGGATTTTTTTTTTTGTTTGCTTGTTTTTAGTTTAGTTTGTTTTGTTTTGAGATAGTCTCACTCTGTCTCCCAGACTGGAGTGAAGTGGCATAATCTCGGCTCACTGCAATCTCTGCCTCCCAGGCTCAAGCAATTCTCCTGCCTCAGCCTCCCGAGTAGCTGGGATTACAGGCATGCATCACCACACCCAGCTAATTTTTGTATTTTTAGTAGAGACGGGGTTTCACCATGTGGCCAGGCTGGTCTCAAACTACTGACCTCAAGTGATCCACCTGCCTCGGCCTCTCAAAGTGCTGGGATTATAGACATAAGCCACCATGGCCAGCCACAAGGAGTTCTTTAAAAATGGGCCAAAAGACAGGAGGAGCACTTGAGGTCAGGAGTTCGAAACCAGCCTGGCCAATATGGTGAAACCCCGTCTCTACTAAAAATACAAAAATTAGCCAGGCATGGTGGTGCATGCCTGTAATCTCAGCTACTCAGGAGGCTGAGGCATGAGAATTGCCTGAACCCAGGAGGCGGAGGTTACAGTGAGCAAAGGTCACACCACTGCACTCCAGCCTGGGTGCCAGGGCAAGACTCCCTGTCAAAAAAAAGGGGGGGGTCAAAAGAACGAACTCATTGAGAGTTCAGGACTCATGCAGTAGTGGCCTCGGAAAATCAATTTTAAAATGTTGGAATTAGGGATATGGCTCCCAAGTCTAGTGAGAATTTTATGCTGGGAACTAATTTAATCGACACATGAATGACACTTTTTTTTTTTTTGTCTTTTTAATCCTATGTCTTCTGCCGAAGACAACAGGAAGGTCTTCAGAGCTGCACCATGAGGGTCAGGTAGGTAAAGCCATACACTATATTGTGAGCACATTGAATCTACTGTATAATTTTGTGTATTTGTGAATTCAGCCTGCAGAGTAGCTGGGACCCCAGGTGCTCACCACCACACCCAGCTAGTTTTTTATTTTTATTTTTTGTAGAGACAGGTTCTCATTATGTTGCCCAGGCTGGTCTTGAACTCCTAGGCTCAAGCAGTCCTCCCACCTCAGCCTCCCAAAGTGCTGGGATTACAGGTGTGAGCCACCACTGAGCCTGGCCATGTGTATGATTTTAAAGTACTATAAAAACAGGGTGTGATAAAACAATTCAACTAACTTCTCACAAATGAAAAGCATTTCTGTAACTTGGGATTTGGCCCATAGTCCTGGGAATGTAGCTTTTGCCTACAAGACATTCTCAGTCTTTGAGGAGATGTTTGCATAAAGCAAAAAAAATTGTCATCTTCTGTGGCTACGATGGTTTCAGAGTGTTTATATGGACTCTGAGAGCCAGTAGGGATGAACTCCTGTTTGTACTTTTCCTCTCAGAGGAGATATTTGAAGTGGGTTTTGAAACATGTATAGAGAAGAGAGAGAGATGAATCAATAATCCCCAGGTCCAACGTTCATTACCTGATAACTGAGTAGGGATGTGCTGAGAAGAGGGGTTACGTGCTTCCTTAAGAAAATATGACCTCAGCTGGGACTCAGCAGAATTGTGAAGTGGACTCAAGTGGTCCTCAGATTCCATGTTCTTTTCTTTCCTCATTCAGGTCTTTCCCCCAACTTTCACTTTTCCTTTATTTGGTAATTCCTTATTGGGTTTTTTTTTTTCCACTTGTTCTTCTGTTTTTTCTCTCTCTTTGAGACAGGGTCTCATTCTGTAGCCCAGGCTGAAGTGCAATGGCGTGATCTCAGCTCACTGCAGCCTTGAATTCCTGAGCTCAAGCGATTCTCCTGCCTCAGCCTCCGGAGTAGCTGGGACTACAGGCACGCACCACCATGCCCAGCTCATTTTTACATTTTCTGTAGGGATGAGTTCTCACTATGTTGCCCAGGCTGGTGATGAACTGATTCTCCTGTCTCAGCCTCCCAAAGAGCTGGGATTACAGGTGTGAGCCACTGCAACCTGACTTTTTAAAAATTGTGAGTAACAATAAATTGCATGTATTCATCCTTTTAAAAATATTATTATTTTATCTTTATTTTTTTCTTTCTTTTATTCTTTTTTTTAATTGCATTTTAGGTTTTGGGGTACATGTGAAGAACATGCAAGACAGTTGGATAGGTACACACTTGGCAGTGTGATTTGCTGCCTTCCTCCCCTTCACCTATATCTGGCATTTCTCCCCATGCTATCTCTCCCCAACTCCCCACTTCCCGCTGTCCCTCCCCATTCCCCAAAACAGACCCCAGTGTGTAGTACTCCCCCTCCCTGTGTCCATGTGTTCTCATTGTTCAACACCTGCTTGTGAGTCAGAACATGCGGTATTTCATTTTCTGTTCTTATGTCAGTTTGCTGAGAATGATGGTCTACAGGTTTATCCAGGTCCCTACAAAGGACACAAATTCATCGTTTTTGATGGCTGCATAATATTCCGTGGTATATATGTGCCACATTTTCCCTGTCCAGTCTATCATCGATGGGCATTTGGGTTGGTTCCAGGTCGTTATTATTGTAAACAGTGCTGCAATGAACATTCGTGTGCATGTGTCCTTATAGTAGAACAATTTATAATCCTTTGGATATATACCCAGTAATGGGATTGCTGGGTCAAATGGAATTTCTATTTCTGGGTCCTTAAGGAATGCCACTCTGTCTTCCACAATGGTTGAACTAATTTACACTCCCACCAACAGTGTAAAAGTGTTCCTATTTCTCCACATCCTCTCCAGCATCTGTTGTCTCCAGATTTTTAATGATCACCATTCTAACTGGTGTGAGATGGTATCTCAGTGTGGTTTTGATTTGCATTTCTCTAATGACCAGTAATGATGAGCATTTTTTCATGTTTGTTGGCTTCATAGATGTCTTCTTTTATAAAGTGTCTGTTAATATCCTTTGCCCACTTTTGAATGGACTTGTTTCTTTCTTTCTTGTAAATCTGTTTTAGTACTTTGTAAATTCTGGATATCAGCCCTTTGTCAGATGGGTAAACTGCAAAAATTTTTTCCCATTCTGTTGGTTGCCAATTCACTCTAGTGACTGTTTCTTTGCTGTGCAGAAGCTGTGGAGTTTCATTAGGTCCCATTTGTCTATTTTGGCTTTTGTTGCCAATGCTTTTGGTGTTTTGTTCATGAAGTCCTTGCCTACTCCTATGTCCTGAATTGTTTTGCCTAGATTTTCTTGTAGGGTTTTATGGTGTTAGGTCTTATGTTTAAGTCTTTAATCCATCTGGAGTTAATTTAGTATAAGGTGTCAGGAAGGGGTTCAGTTTTTGCTTTCTGCACATAGCTAGCCAGTTTTCCCAACACCATTTATTAAACAGGGAATCCTTTCCCCATTGCTTGTTTTTGTCAGGTTTGTCAAAGATCGGATGGTTGTAGATATGTTGTGTTGCCTCTGAGGCCTCTTTTCTGTTCCATTGGTCTATATCTCTGTTTTGGTACCAGTACCATGCTGTTTGATTACTGTAGCCTTGCAGTATAGTTTGAAGTCTGGTAGTGTGATGCCTCCCGCTGTGTTCTTTTTGCTTAGAATTGACTTGGCTATGCAGGCTCTGTTTTGGTTCCATATGAAGTTTAAGGGTTTTTTTCCCAGTTCTGTGAAGAAGGTCATTGGTAGCTTGATGGGGATAACATTGAATCTGTAAAGTTACTTTAGGCAGTATGACCATTTTCACGATATTGATTCTTCCTAACCATGAACATGGATTGTTTCTCCATCTGTTTGTGTCCTCTCTTATTTCATTGAGCAGTGGTTTGTAGTTCTCCTTGAAGAGGTCATTTACATTCCTTGTTAGTTGTATTCCTAGGTATTTTGTTCTCTTTGTAGTAATTGTGAATGGCAGTTTGTCCTAGATTGGCTCTCTTTAAGTCTGTTATTGGTGTATAGGAATGCTTGTGATTTTTGCACATTGATTTTATATCCTGAGACTTTGCTGAAGTTGCTTATCAGTTTCAGGAGATTTTGGGCTGAGACGATGGGGTCTTCTAGATATACAATCATGTCGTCTGCAAATAGAGACAATTTAGCTTCCTCCTTTCCTATTTGAATGCCCTTTATTTCTTTTTCTTGCTTGATTGCTCTGGCTAGGACTTCCAGTACGATATTGTCTACGAGTGGTGAGAGAGGGCATCCTTGTCTAGTGCCACATTTCAAAGGGAATGCTTCCAGTTTTGCCCATTCAGTATGATATTGGCTGTTGGTTTGTCATAAATAGCTTTTATTATTTTGATGTGTTCCATCAATACCTAGTTTATTGAGGGGTTTTAGCATAAAGGGCTGTTGAATTTTGTCAAAGGCCTTCTCTGCATCTATTGAGATAATTATTTGGTTTTTGTCTTTGTTTCTGTTTATGTGGTGAATTACATTTATAGACTTGCATATGTTGAACCAGCCTTGCATCCCCGGGATGAATCCTACTTGATCATGGTGGATAAGCTTTTTGACGTGCCGTTGCAATCGGCTTGCTAGTATTTTATTGAAGATTTTTGCATCTATGTTCATCATAGATATTGGCCTGAAGTTTTCTTTTCTTGTTGAGTCTCTGCCGGCTTTTGGTATCAGGATGATGTTGGTATCATAAAATGATTTGGGAAGGATTCCCTCTTTTTGGATTATTTGGAATAGTTTCAGAAGGAATGGTACCAGCTCCTCTTTGTGTGTCTGGTAGAATTCGGCTGTGAGCCCATCTGGACCTGGGCTTTTTCTGTGTGGTAGGCTCTTAATTGCTGCCTCAACTTCAGAGCTTGTTATTGGTCTATTCAGGTTACGACTTCTTCCTGGTTTAGGCTTGGGAGGAGGCAAGTGTCCAGGAATTTGTTCATTTCTTCCAGTTTTACTAGTTTATGTGCATAGAGTTGTTTGTAATAATCTCTGATGATGGTGTGAATTTCTGTGGAATCTGTGTTGATATCCCCTATATCATTGCATCTATTTGGTTATACTTTCTTTTCTTTTTATTAATCTGGCTAGTGGTCTATTTTGTTGATCTTTTTGAAAAACCAGCTCCTTGATTTATTGATTTTTTGAAGGGTTTTTTGTGTCTCTATCTCCTTCAGTTCTGCTCTGATCTTAGTTATTTCTTGTTGTCTGCTAGGTTTTGAGTTTTTTTGATCTTGCTCCTCAAGCTTTTTCAATTTTGACAATAGGGTGTCAATTTTGGATATCTCCTTGCTTCTCATGTGGCGCTTATTGCTATATATTTTCCTCTAGAGACTGCTTCAAATGTGTCCCAGAGATTCTGGTATGTTGTGTCTTCATTCTCGTTGGTTTCAAAGAACATCTTTATTTCTGCCTTCATTTCATTGTTTATCCGTTCAACATTCAATAGCCAGTTGTTCAGTTTCCATGAAGCCGTGCAGTTCTGAGTTAGTTTCTGAATTCTAAGTTCTAACTTGATTGCACTGTGGTCTGAGAGACTGTTTGTTATGATTTCTATTTTTTGCATTTGCTGATGAGTGATTACTTCCAATTATGTGGTCAATTTTAGAGTAGGTGTAATGTGGTGCTGAGAAGAATGTATATTCTGTGGATTTGGGGTGGAGAGTTTTGTAAATGTCTATTAGGTTTGCTTGATCCAGGTCTGAGTTCAAGTCCTGGATATCCTTATTAATTTTCTGTCTGGTTTATCTGTCTAATATTGACAATGGGGTGTTAAAGTCTTCCACTATTATTGTGTGGAAGTCTAACTCTCTTTATAAGTCATTAAGAACTTGACTTATGTATCTGGGCGTTCCTGTATTGAGTGGGTATATATGTAGAATCATTAGCTCTTCTTGTTGCATCAATCCTTTTATCACTATGTAATGTCCTTCTTTGTTTATTTTGATCTTTGTTGCTTTAAAGTCTATTTTATCAGAGATGAGAATTGCAACTCCTGCTTCTTTTTTTGCTCTCCATTTGCTTGGTAAATCTTCCTCCATCCCTTTATTTTGACCCTTTGTGTATCCTTGCATGTGAGATGGGTTTCCTGGATACAGCACATGGATGGGTTTTGGCTTCTTATCCAATTTGCCAGTCTGTGTCTTTTGATTGGGGCATTTAATCCATTTACATGTAGGGTTAATATTGTTATGTGTGAATTTGATACTGCCATTTTGATGCTAGCTGGCTGTTTTACCCATCAGTTGATGCAGATTCTTCATTTTGTTTATGTTCTTTACCATTTGGTACGTTTTTCGAGTGGCTGGTGCTGGTTGTTCCTTTCTATGTGTAGAGCCTGTTTCAGGAGCTCTTATAAAGCAGGCCTGGTGGTGATGAAATCTCTGAGTACTTGCTTGTTCGTAAAGGATTTTATTTTTCCTTCAGTTGTGAAGCTTAGTTTGGCTGGATATGAAATTCTGGGTTGAAAGTTCTTTTCTTTAATGATGCTGAATATCAGCCCCCACTCTCTTCTGGCTTGTAGGGTTTCTGCTGAGAGATCTGCTGTGAGTCTGATGGGCTTCCCTTTGTGGGTAACCCGACTTTTCTCTCTGGCTGCCCTTAGCATTTTTTCCTTCATTTCAACCCTGGTGAATCTGATGATTATGTGCCTTGGGGTTGCTCTTCTTGAGGAATATCTTTGTGGTGTTCTCTGTATTTCCTGGATTTGAATATTGGCCTGCCTTGCTAGGTTGGGGAAGTTTTCCTGGATAATATCCTGAAGAGTATTTTCCAGCTTGGATTCATTCTCTTCATCACATTCAGATACACCTATCAAATGTAGATTAGATCTTTTCACATAGTCCCATATTTCTTGGAGACTTTGCTCGTTCCTTTTTATGCTTGTTTCTCTAATCTTGTCTTCTCGTTTTATTTCATTAAGTTGGACTTCGACCTCTGATATCCTTTCTTCTGCTTGAACAATTCGATTGTTTTAACCTGTGCATACTTCTCGGAGTTCCCGTATTGTATTCTTCAGTTTTATTAATTCACTTATATTCCTCTCTAAGTTGTCTATTCTCATTAGGATTTGGTCAAACCTTTTTTCAAAGTTCTTAGTTTCTTTACATTGGGCTACAACATGTTCTTTTAACTCACAGAAGTTTCTTATTATCCATCTTCTGAAGCCTGATTCTGTTAATGGGATGCACTCATTCTCCATCAAGCCTTGTTCCCTTGTTGATGAGGAACTGTGATCCTCTTTAGAGGGAGAGACGTTCTGATTTTGAGTATTCTTAGCCTTTTTATGCTGGTTTCTTCCCATCATTGTAAATTTACACCTGTTGTCTTTGTAATTACCAACTTTCAAATTAGGTCTCTGAGTGGAAGTCCAAGTTGTTAATTCCCAGGGCCAAAATATGAGCAACCCACTGCACCAGCCAAAACAGTGGCATTAAGACTGATGGTGCTTTTCTGCCTGGGAATCTCCAGTCTGGCTTCCTTCTTGAGTCCGTAATAGGCAACTCTGCCTTCCCGGAGTTCCAAACATTGGTCAGAAGGGGAACCAGTCCCGTTTACTCTGCACCAAGAGCTGCAGCGCTGAGGTGCTGGCAAAACCGCTGCACCAGCCACAAGAGTCGCGCTTGTGACCCGTGCAGCTCCTCCACTGGGAATCTTCTGGTCTGTGAGCGACAAAAATTTGTCTGAAAGTGTGGCATCCTCTCGTTCTCTGCACTTTCACTGGGAGCTGCAATCCCGAGATGTTTGTGATCAGCCATCTTGGATCTTTCTCAGTTATTTCTGTTTCTTAGTTTTCCTTCTAACAGTCTGGCCCCTCTGCTGTAGGACTGCTGAAGTCCACTCCAGGCCCTGCTTGCCTGGGGATCACCTGCAGCAGCTGCAGAACAGTAAGGATTTCTACCAGTTTCTTCTTCTGCTATCTTTGTCCCAGAATGATGCCCGCCAAATGTCAGTCTGATCGGTGTTTTTGTGAGGTGACTCTTTGGATATACAGGGGTCAGGGAGCTGCTTGAGGAGACAGTTTGTCTTGAGCTCCTTTTATAGGAGCTCAAGTGCTGAGCTGTGAGCTCTGTTGTTCATTCAGAGCTGCTGGGCAGATACGTTTAAGTCTGCTGCAGCAGAACTCATAATCCCCTTTTCTTTCCCCCAGGTGCTCTGTCCCGGGGAGTTAGGGCTTTATTTATGAGTTTCCATTGTGCTGCTGCCTTTTTTTTCAGGGCTGCCCTGCCCAGCAAGGAGGCAGGCTAGTCACTGTCTGCCTGCAGAGGCTTTGCTGAGCTGCTGTGGGGTCTGCCCTGCTGCTGTGTGAACTTCCCTGCAGTCCTGTTTATATGAGTGTGGTTAGAACTGCCTCGGCAATGGTGGCCCACCTCTGTAATGGGGGACTCTTTCTGTGATGGTGGGATACCTCGGCAATGGCAGGTTGCCTCAGCAATGGCGGGCTGCCTCAGCAATGGTGGACCACCTCCATAGGGGTGGAGTGCCTCGGTAACGGCAGACGTCCCTCCCCCACAGAGCTGGACCGTCCGGGTTCAGCTGTGCTTGCCATGAAACTCAACCCAGAGCATTTCCAATTGCTGGGGTGTTTTTGTTGTTGTTGGGGTGAGACCCACCAAGCCTAATCACCTGGCTCCCTGTCTCAGAGCCTTTTTTTTAAGTTGAATGGTTGACTCTCTCCCAGGTGTTCCAGTCACCTGCTGAAAAGGCACTGGGATTGTGTGGTGATGCACTGTGCTGGCTGAAACAAGGGTGCTGAGATTCGTGGTGCTTTTTTGCCTGGGAATCTCCTGGCCTGGCTCCCTGTTTGAGTCCCCTGTTTAATCAGATGAGTGGGTGACTCTGCCTTCCCAGAGTTCCAATCGCCAGCTTAAAAGGGCAACCAGACCAGTGTATTTTAAAAGGGCAACTGCTGTGCTGGGGTACCAGCAAAATAGCCGTGCTAGCCCAAATAGCCACACTGGTGACCCGTGGGGCTCCTCTGCCTGGGAATCTCCTGGTCTGTGGGCAATAAAGATCCATCTGGAAATGTGGCATCCACTCACCCTCTGCACTTTCACTGGAAGCTGCAATCCTGAGTGGCTCCTAAATAGCCATCTTGGATCTTCCTTCTCTTTTATTCTTTTAAATTCATTTTTCTTTTTAAGTTTCTTTTTCTTTTTTTATTGTCCCTTGAGTCAAGAAAGTTGACATATAAACATTGTATAGATTTATGGTGTACAACTTGATATTTCAAATATGCCTGTATTTTGGAATGGCTCAATTATGTTAATGCACGTTACCTCATCCACTTACCTATTTGTGATGAGAACTTTGAATAGATTTTATCAATAATTTTGAATTCTAAAATACGTTCTTATTAACTATAGTCACCACAAGTGCAATACAGTCTTTGAACTTATTCTCCTGTCAAATTGAAATTTTGTATCCTTTGACCAGCATCTCCTCAATCCCTTCCAAACTGGCCCCACAGCCCCTAGCAGGCATCATTCTACCCTTTGTTTCTATGAGAGCAACTTTTTGAGATTCCACATAAAAGTGAGATCATGTGTCATTGATCTTTCTGTGCTGGGCTTATTCCCTTAGCATAATGACCTCCAGGTTCCCCCATGTTGTCATAAATTACAGAATTTCATTCTTTTTTAAGGCTGAATAGTATTCCACAGTGTTATATGTATGGCATTTTCTTTATCCATTCATCCGGTGATGGACACTGAGGTTTATTTCACAGTTTGGCCATTGTGAATAGTGCTGTAAGGAACACACACACTCACTTACCCTTAAATCAGAATAAAAATTCTAATTTTAGAATTAAGTCAAGGTTAAATCCCTTAACCTTGCAGGCTCATTTAAGTCACTTAATTGAGGTTAGGTTCCTGGAAGAGGGAGTTAACCTCAATCATCTTATCATCTCCGTCCCCTGCAATGATTTGCCTCTGAGTACATGTTTTCAGACTTCCCTCCTGGAAGGGCATCTACTTTAGCCTTTAAAAAAAATGTTCAATAGTTTTTGGGGAAGAGGTGGTGTTTGATTACATGGATAAGATTTTTAGTGGTGACTTCTGAGATTTTGATGCACCTGTCACCAGAGCAGTGCACACTGTACCCAATGGGTAGTCTTTTATGCCTCACTCCCCTCCCACCCTTTCCCCAAGTCCCCAAAGTCCATTGTGTCTTTCTTATGCCTTTGCATCCTCATAGCTTAGCTCCCACTTATGAGTGTGAACATACAATGTTTGATTTTCCATTCCTGAGTTACTGCACTTAGAAGAGAAGTAGAGACAGTGTTTAGTCCAGAAAGGGTTTCACCATGTTGACCAGGCTGGTCTCGAACTCCTGGCCTCAGGTTATCCACACGCCTCAGCCTTTCAAAGTGCTAGAATTACAGGTGTGAGCCACCACACCTGCCTGCAAGTATCTTATATATAGTGACTTCTTTTCCTCTGAGTAGATACCCAGGAGTGGAATTACTGGATCAAATGGTAGATCTACTTTTAGTTCTTTAAGGAATGTCCATACTGTTTTCTATAGTGGTTGTACTAGTTTACATTCCCACTAACAGTGTAAAAGGGTTCCCTTTTCACTACATCCACATCAACATCTGTTGTTTTACCTTTATTTTATGCAAAGAGAGAAGTCAAGAGAGCATCATGTTGGGCACTTCCGCTGCTATTCAGCAGCAGTGCTTGGTGCTTGGAGAGAGACACTCGAGTTTGGGTAGATGTCTGGGAGATTCACTTGATCTCCAAAGACCCCTGTTATGTTGTATTGGCGGTGGATCCTGAATCCACCCAGAGAAGCCTGATACCAATAACATCCCCACTTGTGTTCTAGGAGCCCCTTGGTCTTCATGTCTTTGGTGTGCACACTCTTGAACATGTGCCAGGCAGACAGTGTGCATGATGACAAGCCTAATATTGTCCTGATTATGGCCGATGACCTGGGTATTGGAGATCTGGGCTGCTACGGCAATGACACCATCAGGTATGGAGGGTTCATGCAAGTCATATGCTCATCAGTTGTTCAGGGTCAGCAGGCTGACAAATTGTATGACTGCATCCACATGCAAAACCAAATGGATTTGTTGGGGTTTTTTTGGTACTTTAAAGTTTCTGATAGTTTAAAATTATTTTGATTATTTGTCTTACAATTACATTTTCAATAATTTTAATGTGAATCTCCTTCCGTTTTTAAACTTAAGAAGTAATAATTGTCCATCTTCACAGGGTACACAGTGAAGTTTGGATACATGCAATGTATCCTGATCAGATCAGGGTAATCAACATATCCAGTGTCTCTAGCATGAACTAGGATAGTCATAGTAAAAGCGTGGCTGTCTGGACCCTAATCCTGACTCTGCACTTACTAGCTCTAAAGTCTTGGAGAAGTCACTGAACTTCTCTGTGCCTTAGTTTTCTTATTTTTCAAATGCAGAGAAGAGTTTATACCCCTGAGTTTATATATGTAAAGAACTTAGAATAGTACCTAATGCACAACTACGCTTGATCCTACAGTCTATTATGAAGCATGATGATTGTGTATATGTGTATATATGCAGATATGAACATATAAACGTAATTATAGAAATATATGTGATATATTTCATATATGAATATAAATTACATGAATATAATTGTATGAAATATCATCATATAAAATATAATAAAATAAATATCATATAAATATGATATAGATGTAATTATATTTATATATGTTTACATTTCTGTATTTATATAGACATTTATAAATGTATCTGTGGGTCTATAATGAATATATATGAATATATTCTATGATATATAAAATATATAGTATACATTTATTGTATTATATATCCATATATTATGAATATATGTTCAATATATAAACATATGAATATATTTATAATATATAAATATATATTATATATTACAAATATATATTTATGTTATTCATATATGCATGAATATATACATATTATATATGTCTGATAATATATTCCTTATAAATATAAATTTATATACATTTATGTATATTTAAATAAATATATAAATATATTTATATATTTTATACAAATATATGTAAATAAATATATGTAAATATATAGTTTACACAAATACATATTTACACAAAATGAATATTTTATAATGTATAAAAGTATATATTATAAATATATTCATACATATTCATTATGTATATATACATATTCATAATCTATAAATATATATGTTTATATATAAACATATATTCATAAATATGCATAAATATGTAAATATACAAATGTGAATATGTATATTCAGTAGAATTCATCATTCCGTTCCTAATTTGGGGAGGCAACAGATCCTCTAAGGTGATGAGCTTATATTTTTAACAATGGGCATTCTGAAAGAAGAAAAACAGATATGAAACAAAAACTCAGAGCTTTGTGGTGGATGGAAGCCATCTATATTCGTGGGGCTTAAACTGAGCTTAGGAGTACATCATTACGAGGCATACATCATACACCTTCAAGATCATTATGTTGTCTGACTAATAGATGTTGAAGGTAGTCATCGCAGTTTTCGACAGCAGAGCTAGGAGTCAAAAGTCATCGCTCAAAATTAACATTCCTTATGACAAAAGAAGGGAGGAGTCACCCAAAAGCACAGAAACAGTGTCCATAAATAGCAGATACTTACAGAGAGGATATTGGTGTGGGGTACCAGTGTTTTCTGAAAACATTAGCAATTTGAGAAGTGAGATTATAATGTAAAATCTAAAACTAGGCACATGCGCCCCAGGAATGCAGTTTACAATTTTTTTCTTTGCAAAATAAATAATGGTTTAAAAGTCGCTAGGTGATTTCCATATCTGGAAAAACAATAGATAAACGCCTTGATAGAGCTGGAAATTCTTCTTGCAACACTTACCTGTTCAAGAAGAATTTCTAGCTCTACTAAGGCGTTTATCTATTTTTTTCTCTCATGAATAAATAATGATTTATTTATTCATTTATTCTCTCATGAATGAATAAATAATTTCTCTCATGAATAAATGTAGAATTCATCACATTTTATTTTCATCCAAGAGGTGACTGATTCTTTTCCCAGAAGTCTCTGCAGCCTCCAGAAATCTCCTGTTAAATTATTTTTTAATTGGCAAATTATCGTTGTGCGTATTTATGGTGTACATCATGATGTTTTGATTCCAGTATCCATTGTGGAACAGCTAAATCAAGCTAATGGACACGCACGGCCTCACATACTTATTTATATATAGTGAGAGTGGTTAGAATTATGGCAATTTGAAGAATAGAATACATTGTGGTATCTGCAACAGATCTCTTAAATGTATTCCTCTACGTGGGGAATAGATCAAGTGGAGGATTCATTCACATTTGCTACATGAACCGTGGTATCCTTTAACCTACCTGTTCTCAACCCTCTTCCTCGCCCCTGATGCCCATCATTCTACTGTCTACTTCTGAGTTTGGTATTTTCGACTCCACACATAAGTGAGATCATGCAGTATTGTCTCTGTGCTTGGCCCATTTCATTTAATCTAATACCCTTCCAGTTCATCTGTGTCATTGAAAATGATGGGATTTCCTTCTTTTGAATATTTAATCTTATACTTTTGCAGCTTGTGTAGACTGCAGGGGAATGTAGCTATCAAACAGCTGGGTGGGTGGACCCATCCCTAGGTCTGTAAGTAGTTAGGCATAAGTAAGGTCTGTAAGCAATTAGCCTCGATGAATCAGACCCCAATCCCTTAAGCATTTTATTTTGTGAGGCTGCTGTACAGTGAATAGACACCATATAGCAGCACCCAAGTACACCAAGCCTGCAAGACAGCTGCCTGCAATCCCAGTCCCATTTCACCTTGACACGGGCAACAAAGACAAAGGAGCTCTGTGTGCAGTTACCTGCTCTGGGCACCTGAAAATCACAATGAACAGAGATGCTGTTTATCTTCAGGTCTCTCTCTCTCTCTCTCCTCTCTCTGTCTTGCCATCTCTTTCTATGTCTGTCTCTGTCTCCCCGCCCCGTCTGCTTGTATCTCTTTCTATCGCTGTCTCTGATTGTCTCCCTCTGTCCCCGTATCTCTCTGTCTCATTCTATCCATTTCTTTCTCTCTCCTCTTTTTTTTCTATTTCTCTCTGTTTGTCTCTCTCTTTCTCTCTATCTTCTTCTCTCTCTCCATGTCTCTTTCTGTGTCTCTCACTCTGTCTGTTTCTCTCTTTTCATCTCTCTCTTTCTGTTTGTCTCCCCTCATCTGTCTCTCTTTTTCCATCTCTTTTTGTTCTCTCTGTCTCCCTCCCTCTCTTTATCTTCTTTCCTTTTCTTTCTGTCTCTGTCTCTTTCTCAATCTCTGTCTCTTTCCATCTGTCTCTCTGTTTCTGTCTCTTCCTCTCTCTTTCTGTTTGTCCCTCTCTGTCTTTCTCTGTCTCTCTTTAATATCATTCTGTCTGTCTATCTCTCTGCCTCCCTTTCTCTGTCTTTCTCTCTCCCTCTCTCTCTTTCCATCTCTCTGTTTCTCTCTGTGTCTTACTCTGTCTCTTTCTGTCTCTTTTCATCTCTCTTTCTGTTTGTCTCTTTCTGTCTCTGTCTTTCTGTCTGTCTCTCTCTCATCATTTCTTTCTGCCCATGTCTCTCTTTGCCTCACTTTCTGTCCCTGTCCCTGTCTCTCTCTCTCTTTTCTCTTTCTACCTCTGCCTTTCTGTGTGTCCCTCTGTCTTTCTCGTTGCTCTTCT